TGGGAAGGGGAAACAAAGGAGGAGGCTACAATGCTTGATAAGAAATGTACTCATTATCTTGCCCATGTAATTGTAACCCCTCTGTACAGTATTCTCACAATAAAAAAACTCACTGATTTAAAGCCACAGAGAGAGATTAGTGAACATATGACGGAGTCACACAGAGCCACAGAAGTCTTCAACTGAGACACTTCTTTTTTTTGAATAAAGTTCTGCACACTCAAAAAAAAAATAATGAAAGCCATGTAGTAGAATGCCACCCAAAAGAATCTATCCATTCACTTGTCAACACTTTCATGAAAATTAAGAAAATCTGTTTCTGCTTAACTGGATACCAGCCACACTTTTTTAAAATACTTTAAAAATTGTTTTGGAAGTATAGAGCTTGAACATAGGTGCTTTGCCATTTGAGCCATGTCATTTTTTGCTTATTTTTCTTGTTGGGTTTTACCCCAGGGCTGACATCAGGTTACAATCTCCTATCTTCACCGCCCATGTAGCTATGATTATAGGTGTGCTACCACATTCAGCTTCATTTATATATCACTGATGAAAAAGGCCCATCCATACTTGACAATGCTTTCCAGGCTGGTATCTCTGAACGTGGTACTGGGAAAGAACTGGCTTTGTGCATTTGTTCATGCCAAGAATTCCTGGGGAAAGCTAAAGCAGCATTCCCAAAAGGGTAACCCCTAAACCAGTATCATGAAATACACCAATGCCCCAAAATAAGAAGTCAAGAGAAAAAAAAGCTGAAATATCTGTGAAAGAAACACATTTGATAAACCTAAAAGAAACCAATGAACAAGCTCAGGAAAAGCCTCTGAATAGAGAAATAATTACCTGACAGTTATTTGATCTAACTTTCCTTTTTTTTTTTTTTTTTTGGTACCAGTACTAGGGCTTAAACTCAGTGCCTGGGCACTGTCCCTAAGCTTTTTCGCTGAAGGCTAGTGATCTACCACTTGATCCACATCTCCATTTCTGGCTCTTTTGTGGTTAGTTGGAGAAAAGAGTCTGGCTTTAAATCACGATCATTGGATCTCAGCCTCCTGAGTTGCTAGGATTACAGGCATGAGCCACTGGTGCTGGGTTTCTGATCTAACTTCTTAAAAGGACAGTGATGCTCTTATTTTAGCACAAGCATTTTATATGCAGGCAGATCCTATGAATAATTGCCTGACTTAAAATTTTTCCCAATATTAATGCAAAAGTAATCACATTCAATAGAAACCATAGCTCACATCTGATCTTTTTCTGGGCCAGCAACAAGTAAGATTTTCTATTAGACTCTCTGTCAAGTCTTTCTCTGCCTTGTGTCTCTTCTGAGCAGTGGCAACCAGCCATAGCTACCAATCAGGTACATGATTGTGGGGGGGTGGGAACAATCTCCACTCCATGGTATGCCATGTAGCCAAGCTATGATGCCTGATAAGCCAAGGGTATTCAATGCATAGGGGATTTACAATATTTAGAATTCAGGATGGGCTTTTAGAAGGTCACTTCACCATAAGTGCACCTGCAGCTACAGTATATGTCGACTCAGTATCCATCACAGAATCAAAGGCAGTAGAAAGACACATCAGGAACTGCTACCATTCCATCATCAAATAACTCATCATCACCAACACTGAACACAAATGGCATTGTCTACCATCCTGCTACATGCTGGATCGTGAGAATCAAAACACAAATCGCCAGGACCCACTTCTAGGTTTTCTGATTCTGTGAGTCCAGGATAAGTCCCAAGAATCTGAATTTCTTCCCAGGAGATGCTGCTGCTGCTGCTGCTACACCAGCTAGCTTCACCATTAAGTCAGGAAACCCAGACAACCTTGTGCAGGCTCCAAGGAACCGTACACTCATCCCCACAGCCTGCCAATCACCATGCACACATGCATGTGTTTCTGGGTGCAGTCACACATCACTGCTGTCACAGAGATGAAGCTTGTGGGCTGCTGAGCAACAAGCACACCCCTTCTTTAATGGAGATCTTGAGACCCCCTGGTTAGTTAACACACCTCTCCTCTCCTCCAGCACCAGGATGATCAGCTCTACCCCATCCTCCTCTGGAAAGGCTTTGAGATGACATGGCCTGCCCAGGTGACATGACACCAAGCACCCGCACCATTTCCCAGTAGGGACACAGAGGCTGGAGAAACGCCTGGGAACCAAGACTATATGAGAGTAACTGGTAAAGATGGCCACAAAGCAGAGAATACTGGTTCCATATTTCCCTTGCCAAATAGGTGCTCGTCCCTGCACAAAGGACTAGTGCAACACTGGTTCCATTATGTCAGTTTCTGTGTGTACTCTGGCTGTTACACTTGTAAGTGGTTACTCCCCATCACTCCCAAATACCAGCCTGCCCCCAGCAGCCCAACTCTTCACACTTGAAAAGCTGACTTGCAGTGGCCTGGGGCTGGACACCTGTTATCCTAACTAGGTGGGAGGGCTGAAATTGGGAGGATTGTGGTTTGAGACTAGTCCAGGTAGAAAGGCTATCTCAACAAACAAGCTTAGATGTAGTGGTATATCTGTCATTCTAGTTATGGCTGGAAGCAAAAGATAGGAGGGTCTTGGTCCTTGCTTGGTCAGGAAGTAAGACACTATCTTAAAAATAATCAGTGTATGGGCTGGGAATGTGGCTTAGTGGTAAAAGTGCTTGCCTAGCATGCATGAAGCCCTCGGTATCACATAAACAAAAAAGAAGCTGGAAGTGGTGCTGTGGCTCAAATGGTAGAGTGCTAGCTTTGAGCAAAAGAAGCTCAGGGATAGTGCCTAGACCTTGAGTTCAAGTCCCAGGACTGGCCAAAAAAAAAAAAAACAGTGCAAAAAAAAAGGCCTGAAAGTGCCCAGCACTGGTGACTCATTCCTGTAATCCTAGCTAATCAGGAGGCTGAGATCTGAGGATTATGGTTCAGCACCAACCTGGGCAGAAAAGTCCATGAGACTCATTTCCAATAAACCAGCAAAAAGCTGGAAGTAGAGCTGTGGCTCAAGTACAGAGTGGCAGTCCTCTGTGAAAAATGGAGACAGTGCAAGTCCCTGAGCTTAAGCCCTAAAGCTGGCACACTGGCATGTGTGTCTGCGTGGGCACACTGGCGCGCGCGCGCGCACACACACACACACACACACACACACACACACACACACAATATGTTGAAGGGAGGGGGACTGGGAAGCCCAGTTTGGCAAAGGCCCAGGGTAGTGCCAGCTCTGTGTCACCCTGGCATGTCCAGAAACAGTGTTCTATATCCAAACAGCTTTCTTTACCACCCCCCTTCCCATGTGCTCCCCCCATACAAGGTATGTGCACCAGCGAGTGATTTATCACATCCATGACATACTTGAGTACCCAGTGATACCTAGAAGCAAGTCAGCTCTTCCAAAGTACCAGCAGGATCTGGCTTGAGGAAGCCCTGTGCCCATAGCCATTTGATGGCCTCATGAGCCATCACTGCCCAAATACACCCTTCAAGCACTTACTGTAAAACCTTTGGCAGTGGACTTAACCTTGCTGTGGCTCAGTCTCCTAACTGTGAAACAGAGGTAACACCAATGTTAGCCGCTAAGTTCATTATGAAGGGCACAGAGCTGCCAGGCACTAATTTCTTCCAAGGATGGCTGGCACAGGGCAGCCAGAGGCCTAACTCCAATAACCACATTGCTGTCATTATTACACAGGCCACAAGCTATGCCCGTGTCTCATTTGTCAGTTTTCAGTGATATGCAAATGAACAAAAAATGACTCTCTTTTCATCCCCCGAGCCTGGCATATGCAATGTGTTTTTCATGCAGAATGGGAAAAGTGGGGGCGCACTCTTCCAAGGGAGCCTGGAAGGACTCCATGGAAGGGGTCCTCCTAGGGCTTATACAGGTGAACTCCCCCCCCCCGCCACCTTTTTTTTTTTTTTCCAGAAGAAAGGCCCAGCTGGGCAGCCGCCCACAGTCAGATGAAACAAGCAGATAAAACAATCACTGCCCAACAAAAGCAGCTCGGCTGCCAACCCCCACTTACTTCCAGGACTGTCCATTGTTCCACAACAATAGCGTCATAGCCCTGTATGGTTTTGCTATCTTCTGTGGAAACAGCTTCAAAGATGAATACTCCATCTGTCAAGCCATGTAAGGAATCTGTGGAGAAAGCAAGAAGCGGGGGCTGCGTGAGCCGTTGGTGGCAGAAGGCTTCCGAGCAGCAACATTTTTCACTGCATTCATTAATAATCCCAATCAGAACATCTTTTCAGCATGTTAATTAAAGAAGGCACACACAGCCACGGAGTCTAGCCCCATCAGAATGAATGAGACTAATTTACCTCGCGGTTTTGAATAATACCCTTGATTTTAGGAGCCCAAATTTCATTGTTAGTAATCACCAGCTGATTTCACGTGCTTACCTTCCTTCCTCGCGGCCCAACGTCAGGATGCATGGGGGGGGGAGGGGGGAGAACGGGACTTAGGGTAAAACACAGCCATTTACAGACCATGATTTAGAAGCAAACTATATTTAGGTGAGAGGGATTGCTTTTGATTTTTTTAAAGGCAGGATAGATTCAACATGCCAGAGCTGAGCCTGTCAAGCATACCAGAGGATGCGTTGACTCTTGGAGGTTTGTGTGATAATGGCTGAGGCAAAGAGGCTGCTGCTGGCAGCTCTCCAAAGAGAGGTTTTGGAGGGGAATTCTCTCCCAATGATTCACTATGGAAAAAGTTCCATTGCTCTAGTCAAGTTAGCTGGGTTGGAGTTCGGACAATTCAACAACGGAGAAGTCAGGCACTAGATGGTAAGGGGGAATATAGGAAATGGGAACAGAGCCCTGCCTTGGGGAAGATGTACCGGGAAGTGCCTTCTACCCTCTCCCGGCTCATGGTCCTTATGTATCTTTTAGTCATTAAGACTGGGGAACAGAGGATTTATGAGACTCCCATGGTCTAGGTCCAGGCTCAGGGAGTGCTGTGATCCCCTGGGGGGCGTGGCCTCTTAAGATGGGGCTGAGGAAAGATGGTAGACCCTGGTCCCTAGGGACTACTCCACTCACAGCGCTCAGGCATGAACTGTGCCTGTCCTAGCCCCCAATGGGACTGAAGTCAAAGATAGAACTCTTAGAAAGATAATAAGCTGTAGATAATTCAAACTAAATGAGGTATAATGGTGAGGTCCTAGTCTAAAAGGAAGGCAGAAGTACCTGAGCCCTCTGTTGCTCCCCTCCACCCCTAGAGGTCACAGGGAAAGATGTCATATGGTGACAGAGGTCTGCAAGCCAGAGAGAGAGACAGAGAGAGAGAGAGAGAGAGAGAGAGAGAGAGAGAGAGAGAGAGCAGAGCCCCAACATCCTTATCAGAAACTGAATTTTTTCACACCTTGATCATGAGTTTCTTGCTTCCACAAATGGGAGGTAATACATGTCTATTTGCTGTTGAAGTCACTCAGGCTCTGGTCTTGTAGCAGCCCTAGCAGACTCATTCAAAGCCCTTTTTAACAATACACTACTTAAAAAGACAATTTTAGCAGGAAAAAATATATAATAAGGATCCTTTTTTTTTAAACAGGGAAGGTAGACAAATTCACAAAGTTTCTTGAATCACTGGAGTTCCCAGAACTACCACTATTTTCCTTAAGTTTTAAAGCAAAGGACTACTGTGGTTGCCTAACATTCTTCACTCAGATCCCCTCTACAACACTGAAAGGTCATCCATGAGAAGAAGTTATTCCTAACACTTGCAAGAATAAAAGGCTAAGCTTAATCTTCTTCATCTATAAAAAGCTTTTATAAATTGATAGTTAAAAATACTAGAATATGGGGCTGGGGAGGTAACTCAGCAGTAGAATGCTTGCCTTGCATGCATGAGGACCTGGGTTTGATTCCTCAACACCACGTAAGCAAAAAAATCCCTGGAAATGGTGCTGTGGCTCAAGTGGTAGAGCACTAGCCTTGAGCTGAATTGCTCAGGGAGGACAGCACCCAGGCCCAGAGTTCAGGCCCCACAACTGACAAAACAATAAAAATAAAAAAATTACTAGAATACCAACAGAAATGAGCCAAGAATATGAACTAGAATTTTTTTCTCCATGGGGCTGGGAAGTTAGCTCAGTGGTAGAGTGCTTGCCTCACATGCATGAGGCCCTGGGTTTGATTACTCAGCACCACAAAAGCAGAAAAAAGCCAGAAGTGGCACTGTGGCTCAAGTGGTAGAGTGCTAGCCTTGAGCTGAAGGGCTGAGGGACAGTGCCCAGGCCCAGAGTTCAGCCCCCACGACCAACCAAAGAATAAATAAATAATTTTTTTCTCTCCATGAAATATAAAATGAACATCTTTCCTTTTGCACACTGGCAACGTAGACACTCACAGCTGGTAGAGGTACAGGGCCCTGGGAATGTTTGTTGTGGATAAGAAAGCTTGAACTGCCTAGTCGTTTTAGAAAGAAACTTACTAAGGTCTGAAGTGCCAATCATAAAACCTCTATCCTTTGTGACCTCCAAATCTTCTTTCTGTCCTAAGGTAACAAACACCAATGCTATCAAATGCTTATCTATAAGCTTTGATTCTAAAATTAAGACATGAATGTCCAACAATCCAAATATTCAACCACAGGAAAACAGGTGAATAAATCAGGAGTTCCATACATTTAAAATACTATACTGTTCTGAAAAAAATGTCATGGGAATTTAATGATTCAAGAGAATACTTTAGATACAAAGATTACTGTAGGGAAAAAATCCCAAGACACAAAACTGCCTTATGAACTAAAAATGAATTCCTATGTTACAAATGTTAAGGTAAACTTTAAAAAATACACACAGTACTTATAATCCAATAATTTAGATTTTCTTTTTCACCCTTTTCTGCAAGAGTTCATCCAAGAGTAACAGAAAATGGACAACATAGAAGAAGTCTCTTTTTTCTTTGTCCTACGTAGCTCTCGAACTAGAGAGGTTTAACATGGTTTAGAAACTATGAAGGCATGATCCAAACAGAAAGAACTTTCCATAGAGGAATCTAGAAAGAGAAACTGCATTCAGCAGCATGGCAATGTGTTCCTAGAAACATTCACACGCTCACCCTAAATGACCCATCGGCTACTCATTCACTCATTCTGACATTTGCTAGCCACTTGGTTTCTGGTAGTTTTGTGACCAACAGCCTCTGTCATGGTAGGAGGCTAAGCAGCTCCTCTGAATAAAGATTCCTCAGTCCTGCACCAGAATGCTGGGTACCAGAGGACACCAGGAATCACTCAGGTTCTATCCATATTGCATATTAACTCACAGCTTCTACAAGACATGCTAGAGTGGACCCTCTGTGCCTGCAGATCTGCATCTGTGAGTCTAACCAACTGCTGGTGAGTGTGTGTGTGCACGCGCTGGTACTGGGGCTTGAACTTAGGGCCTATCCTTCAGTACTATCTCTGAGCTTTAGTTCTCAAGGCCTAGTGCTCTACCACTTGAGCCAAAGCTCTACTTATGGCTTTTTTTCTGGCTAACTGGAGATAAGAATACCAAGAACTCTCTTGCCCATGCTGGCTTGGAACCACAATCCAGGTTTTAGCCTCCTGTAAATAGGATTACATGTGTTAGCCACTGGAGCCTGGCACTAGCTCATTTTCTTATTTATTTATTTTTGTTATTATTCCCTAAACCAACAGCTACATATGTGGCATTGGTAACAGGTATTGTAAGTCATCCAGAGATGGTTAAGATGTGCCATTTGATGGAGAGACTTGAGAAGTTGCAGCTTTTCATATACAAGGGGCCTTCCTGGAACCCATCACCCTGACAGAAATCTAGTTTCCAAAGGATCTTCCTCCATCTCCTCAATAGAAAACCTTTAAGTCTTCTAAATGTGCTCACTATGCTTCTTTGTGAACCCCGAAGGCCCAATTCAACATAAAAATATTATGACTGTCTTTAGCTTGCCACCAGCACAGGGCCACAGCTTGACCAGACTTCTTCTCCCTCCGCAGGCAGTGGCCTGAGGGACTGTGTGGTCAGTGAACTGACAAGGCTGGGTCTAGGGTGTGAAGTATTTATCCACCATCTACCCTGTCCACTGCCTGCCTCTCAGCCCCTTACCCCACTGCTCTGTTCTTTGCATCCAGAGGTCAGATTCACCTACTCCATTCTGAAGCAAGTTTAGAATGGCTGTCAAAATTTGGTCATCTGTAACAGCAAAAATAGTCAATGAACCACAGAGAGGAGACAGCTGGGCTTTTAAAGAGCTCCTTGTTTTGACGGCCTCGTCCACTCTCTATCTCCTCATTACCTCCCCAGCTCAGCCTCTTGGAAATGTGCACCGAGGTGGGCATAAAGAGGTCTCTCAGAGTGAAGGCTCCCAGTATAAAAAGGTTAAACCGCCCTCCATCTATGGAAAACATTCCATTATCACTGCATTTTTTATTAAAGGAAAGATGCTTCCCTACTGTGTACAAAGAGCTATTTGCCCTGGCATTACATAAATATTTGATGCTGGTCTTTTGGCAAAAGGCCACCTTAACATTCCAAGTTTATGATTTACAAGAAAGATGTAGAAGAAGATTTGTCATATTATCTCAAGAGGTAAATTCTGGGCGCTTTGCAAGCACTGAGACTGTCTGCCGAGCCTGGATTCAAGTCATTGCTTGGTACTGGTCTCCAAAGTCGAGTCTAGAATATGCACTTCAAATGCATAGCCCATATGCGATGCATCTGGTCTATTTCACAGGTTTATAAACAAATGTTATTTTACTGTTCTTTTTGTGTGTGTATGCCAGTAGTGAGGCTTGAACTCAGGGTCTCATGATCTCGTTTGGCTTTTTCATTCATGAATGGTATTCTACCACTTGGATCATACCTCCATTTGTTTTGTTCCTAGTTAATTGGAGATAAGAGTCTCATGGCCTTTTCTGCCTGGAGTGGCTTTGAACCACAATCCTCAGATCTCAGCCTCCTGAGTAGCTAGGATACATGTGAGTCACTAGTGCCCTGCTTGCTATTCTCTGTTTAACAAGCTAAGTTAAACTATGCATATGTCCTGAGCACCCTGAGAATCCAGGAAGGATACCACTATGTGAGCCTAATGACACCTGTGGCTAGGCCGACGTGAGATCCATCACAGAACCCTTAGCAGCCAACCTGCTCCATTAACAAAGTAGCAAGC